AAAAAAAAAAAAAAAAATCTTTAAAAAAAAAAAAAAGATTTTATTTATTTATTTCACAGAGATCACAAGTAGGCAGAGAGGCAGGCAGAGAAGGGGGGGGGGAAGCAGGCTCCCTGCTGAGTGGAGAACCCGATGTGGGGCTCTATTCCAGGATCCTGGGATCATGACCTGAGCTGAAAGCAGAGGCTTTAACCCACTGAGCCACCCAGGCGCCCCCATGTGAATGTATTTAATGCCACTGAACTATACACTTAAAATGGCAAATTTTGGGCCCCTGGGTGGCTCAGTTAATAAGCATCTGCCTTTGGCTCAGGTCATGATCCCAGAGTCCTGGGATCAAGCCCAGTATGGGGCTCCTTGCTCAGCGGGAGCCTGCTTCTCCCTCTCCCACTCGCCCATCTTGTGTTCCCTCTCTCGCTGTGTCTCTCTGTCAAATAAATAAAATCTTCTTTTAAAAAAATAAAATAAAATGGCAAATTTTATGTTATGTATAGTTTACTACAATAAAAATTTTCTAAAAGAACAAAGAGGGGGAAAGGAAAAAAGTAGACTAGCATTTGCAAGGGTAGAACCAGGGCTTCACCCAAATTACAACCCACCCCTCATTTTCCTTTTCTTTTTTGTTGAGACCAAACACACAACAAAGTATGTGGAGCCCGTTAATCTTGGTCTTAAGTACAGCTCGCTGAATTTTTTTTACATGTGTTTATATCTGTATAACCACCACCAAGGCAAGGTATAGAATATTCCAGGGGCACCTGGGTGTCTCAGTCGGTTGAGACTGAGACTTGATTTCAGCTCAGGTCAGGATCTCAAGGTCATGAGGTCAAGCCCCACATCAGGCTCTGGGCTCATTAGGGAGTCTGCTTGAGATTCTCTCTCTCTCCCTCTCCCTCTTCCCCTTCTTCTGATCTTGCCCCCCCTCAAATAAATAAATAAATCTTAAAAAAAAAAAAAGAAAGAAAAGAAAAGACAGAAAAAGAACATTCTGCACCCCTGGAGGGTTCTTCCTAGTCAGTAACTCCTCTAGAGGTAACCAGTATTTTGACTTCTGTCACCATCATTTGGTTTTACCCAAATATGGTTATACTCTTTTGTGTCTAGTTTCTTTCACTTAGCATGTCTGTGGGATCCATGCATTTATTAGTGTATCAGTATTTCTCCTCTTCCTCCTCCTTCTTCTTCTTTTACTGTGTACTTTCCATTGTATGCTAAATCATTATTTAATTTGCCCCTTCTGTTGACTGTCATTTGGGTTGTTCTGTTGGGGCTGTTGTAAATCAAGCCACTGTGAATGTCCCTTTGATGAACCTACATAATCATTTCTCTTGGATACAGACTTAGGGGTGGGCTGGCTGAATCACAGGGTGCAGATATTCCATTTAGTAGATCCTGACAGTTTTACAAAGCATCTTACCAGTCCATACTCCCGCCAGCAGAGAGTTCTGTGTGCTTCCCAACCTCACCAACACTTGGTTTCATTTTTTTTTTTTTTCTCTTTCAAGCCATTCTGGGGTGTGTGGAGTAATACCCCAAAATCTAAACAATGCAAAAATGGAAATTTGTGTGCAAATATTTAAACGCCTAATCGTCAGTAAATGACCCTGAAGTTAGTGTCACAGTGCGGGGCGGGACTTTGGGCTCTCAGTCCGTGTGGTGGACAGTCTCCATGGACTTGAGGGCATTTTCATGCCGCTTTCTTCAGATGTCAGATCAATTAATTCAGAATGGTTCCAGGCATCTGCCTAGCTCCAGCTTTTTTTTTTTTTTTTTTTTTTTAAAGATTTTATTTATTTGTCAGAGAGAGAGAGAGGGAGAGAGAACAAGCACAGGCAGGCAGACAGAATGGCAGGCAGAGGCAGAGGGAGAAGCAGGCTCCCCGATGAGCAAGGAGCCCGATGTGGGACTCGATCCCGGGACACTGGGATCACGACCTGAGCTGAAGGCAGCTGCCCAACCAACTGAGCCACCCAGGCGTCCCTAGCTCCAGCTTTTTAGTACTAGTCCTCTTTAGAAATACTCTTTCCAGAAGGCTTACCGTGATTGTGAAAATGTATTTGCAGTGTTTCTCATCAACCGTGAATGTCATTTACCTGGGCCAGAACTGTGAGCTCTTTGAGGGGCTCCCAACTCTTAGACTTTAATTCCTTTCAACAGGCATTTGTTACGCTGCTTCCAGAACAGGGAGGAAAGCAGAAAAGGAGCAGAGAGATTCTCCTTTCTCTCTGTCCTCCATTAGCAGTGTTCTTCTGGCCTCCAGAAGGTTCCTCTCGTCCCTCTGAACATGTTGTCTGTGTGAGATCATATACAGAGTGCATGGTGTGGAGCATATGGTATCATCCTTCTCCTTCCTCCATATACATATATGCGTGTATATCTATGTATGTATACATATATACACATATATACATGTCTAGAATTGAGAAATATATTTTTAAGCTGTTTTTTCTTGCCCTGTAATTTTTTGTGCATTACCCTTACCTTGCTTTTTGTGCATCTCACAGTTCTTTCTTCATAGGCTCCCATCTTTAAAAACAAACAAACAAACAAAAAACCCAAAACAGAAAAGCAGCTTTAAAAAAAAAAAAACAAAAACTCATTATTTGAAATGTGACATGATGCGTAATATTCATATGCGTAATATTCATATATAATATTCTTTGAAACAGTAATGGAAGATCATACTGTAAATGATAGACGCAGGTTTATCTAGCTTTGCATTTTTCTACCGCACACGGTCGTGCTCTGACAAGTGCTTTTACTGCGTCTCAACCACTGGGCAGGTGGTACGGCTCGGTGCTTTCTTGGCTTATAGCACTCCTTGCTGACAGTGTACGTTCTCCTCCTCTGTCCTTCTGTCTCTTAGCTCAAGAGGGCCAGTAGCGAGGACATGCTCAACAAACCAGGAAGTACCGCCGCTTCCGGGGTGGTTCGACTGAAAAAGACTTCAACAGCTGGAGCCATCTCCGAGCTTGCAGAGAGCCGCCTGCGGAGCAACCCAGGTAGGGAGGACCCAGGTGGGAAGACCCCAGGTGGGAAGGAGCCAGGCAGGAGGGACCCAGGTGGGAGGGACCTAAGCAGGCCATTCATCTTGGTGATATGAGAACCTTTTCATGATTCCTGCGTCCCTCTCCTCATCAGACGTGTATTACTGGCCACGTGTGTGTGAGAGGGGGGTGCCCGTTCTGGGGTTGTAGTGGTGAGAGGTGTGTTAGAGGAGGGAATGAACCCTGTAGAATCTCGCAGACGTGGGCATTCGACATCCTTCCTGGATCCTCTGGAAACCTGGAAAAACCCTCTGAATCACTTAGGCTATGGTGGCCACCGGAACCTGCGAGCTTTCTGTTTCACTGGTTTTCTGAGAATCAGAAAGAAGGGTTATTTGCCATTGTGTCTGAGTTCAGAGCATGGGAAGCATCAGGAATGTATTTCATTTTCTTTGGGTGCAGGTACATAAGAGAGCTAAGATTTCCATGGTCCGACTGTTACAGTGCTCATCTCCATGCAAAATGGTCTAAATTGGGAAAATAGCTGAAATACATCATTATTAATTTATAATGGAAGTGAATATTAGTATACTTACAATTTTTGAATTCTGCATAAAATACCACAATTCAGATTAGCTTTCAAAGGTGTATTTTAATTTACTCAGTTTTCCAAAAAGTTGAATCTATGAAAAGTGTATGTGACTATTTTTTTTTTTTTTTTTTTTGGATGTAAAGGCCTCATATTTCTATACAATGGTTGTACTATTTTAAGGACTGGTTTCGTACTGAATACAGACATTTGGTTTTAAATATACAACAAATGAAAGTACAGCTTGTTTTTATCACGCCAGCCTAAACATTAATTCCATAAGTTAACAGGGCACCACTAAAAAAAAAAATGACAGAATCCTCTCACTCTCAAATATTGATGTAAAAATGTGGGATCGAAATATTAACAAGTAGAATTCTACAAGAAATTAAAGGAGTAATAGTGTAGATTGCAACCAAGTGGATGTATGGTCTTCAAGAATGCATTATATTTGGGCATTTAGGAATATAATCTATTTTACAACATTACTAGACCAAAGGAGAGCCATTGTCATCTCCAGAGATGGAAGACATGTTTGGCAAAATTAGCAATCTTTCTGATTTAAAAACAAACTTTTGGTATACTATAAATGTAGGGATACTTCTCTAGTGGGATTAAAACACATGTATCTCAAGCCACAGCCAGAACTGTCCTCAAGGGTGAAATCCTGGAAATATTCCCTTTAAAGTCAAGAATGATTCAAGATTGCCTCATTACCACTGTCATCCAGATTTCCCTGCAAGTATTAAATCAAGGCAGTGAGCCAGGGGAGCTCTAGCTACAGAAGTACTGGAAATGAGGGAACAAAAGTGATGATTTTCTCCAGAGGATAACATTGTATGCTTAGAGAAATGCTTAGAATTTCCTGAAAATTGTATCATTAGAAAAAAACAGAATGTCCTTCAATTCTATTAGATACAGTAGGAGTTCAACTTGTGGTTAGTTGTAGGATATTGAATATAAATAGCTTGCTTTTTTTTTTTTTAAGATTGTATTTATTTATTTGACAGACAGAGATCACAAGTAGGCAGAGAGGCAGGCAGAGAGAGAGGGGGAAGCAGGCTCCCCGCTGAGCAGAGAGCCCGATGTAGGGCTCGATCCCAGGACCCTGGGATCATTACCTGAGCCGAAGACAGAGGCTTTAACCCACTGAGCCACCCAGGCGCCCCTATGAATAGCTTTCTTATCAGTGACTGGTTAGAGGAGATAAGTAACACAAGAAATGATCCCATTTATAAAAGAATATAAAAGGTAAAGTACTCAGGAATAAACTTAGTATTATAAAAGCCTATATATATTTTTAAAAATCTTAAAACTCTTTGGAAGGACATAAAAGACATAAATAAGTAGAAGGATATACATGGTGCTTGAATAGGAAGGTCAAATATAATAAAGATTGAATTTCATCAATATTACTTGAATAAGTATAATATCTTAAATATAATAACATTATCTAAATTATTCTATGAATTCAGTTTCATCCCAATTAAGATATCAGTGGGAATTGGCTGGGAGTGCAAACACTGGTAAAATGATACTGAGTTTATCTAAAACAGTGGTTCTCAACTGGGGGCCTTCTGTCCTCCACCCTCCACCAAGGAGCAACTGGCAATGTCTGCAGACGTTGTTGTCAAAATTAGGGGGGTGCTGGGACGCCTGGGTGGCTCAGTTGGTTAAGCGGCTGCCTTCGGCTCAGGTCATGATCCCAGTGTCCTGGGATCGAGTCCCACATCAGGCTCCTTGCTCGGAAAGGAGCCTGCTTCTCCCTCTGCCTCTGCCTGCCTCTCTGTCTGCCTGTGCTTGCTCGCTCTCTCTCCCTCTGTCTCTGACAAATAAATAAATAAAATCTTAAAAAAAAAAAAATTAGGGGGTGCTGCTGACATCTAGTGGGTACAGGTCAGGGATGCTGATCAACATCCTACAATGCATTGGACAGCCCCCCACAATAAAGAATTATCCAGCCCAAAATGTTAATAGTGCCTCTGTTGATAAGCCCTGATATAGAAGACAAAATACTCTAGAATAACCAGAAAATTTCTTTTTTTTTTTTTTAAAGATTTTATTTATTTATTTGACAGAGATCACAAGTAGGCAGAGAGGCAGGGGAAGAGAGAGAGGAAGGAAAGCAGGCTCCCTGCTGAGCAGAGAGCCCGATGCGGGGCTCAATCCCAGGATCCTGGGATCATGACTTGAGCCAAAGGCAGAGGCTTTAACCCACTGAGCCACCCAGGTGCCCCAACCAGAAAATTTCTAAAACACAGTAATCAAGGGACTAAGTTTAAGCATCTTGTAACTGGAGAATAGATATGCACTTCAGCAGAACAATGGAGAAAGTCCAGATTACACCTAGGGTAGTATAGAGATGGGACAGAATGGGACAAAAGTGGCATTTTATATCCAGCTAGATAATGCATTGGAAAATAATGACTGATTGGGTCTTTAGGAAAAAATAAAAAAATAAAGCTGGATCCTGATCTCATCCCTCTCCATCAAAATAAATTCCAGGTGGATTAAAGATTTTGATCTTAAAAAGTTCAGCCATGAACATACAAAGAGAAAACCTCAGAGTCAGTTTGTAGTCTTGGCCTTGGAAGGGCCTCTCCAAGTAGAAACAAACACAGCAGCCATGTAAGAGAAGATGAAAAAAAAATCACAATAAATATAAAAAACTGTTTTGTAAAAAGTGGGAGTTAATTTGCAATCCATGTAACAGAAGGCATATTTACACAGAGCTTATATAAATCAATAAGAAAAAGAAAACAATGCAATAGAAAAATGGCTAGTTCACATTAAAAAATAAAGATAGGCACTAGAAAGATGCTAAGTCTCACATAGAGGTAAAGAAATGTAACAAAACAAGAATTGGATGTGCTCTTTCCTCTCACTGATGAGGAAATATGAAAGGCATTTCTGGTGTTATCAAGGGTACAGGGAGCAGGACCCTACCTATAGTTGATATACAAGGACGGTTTGATATTATCTGTCTACATTTGAAATGTGTATAACCTTCCACCAAGTATCTCCTTGGCATTTAATATTACTGATTTACTTGAAAAAAGATGGCAGTAAATATGGACAGTTGAAGCATTATTATAATAGTAAAATACTGGCAACAGGTGTGTATCAGTACAGAACCGGTTACATAAGTGATTTTCATCCAATGGAGTAGTATGCAGCCATGAAAATGGACACAGTAGGTTTGTATGTACAAATAGGGAAAGATCAAAGTATGTTATAAAGTGGGGAAAAGAACATGGTGCTTATGGTATGACCTCATATGCTTTGATTTTTTTAAAACTATACATTAATTTAATATTTGAAATCATAACTTTGTGGAGGGATTAAAAGTGGTTATCTTTGAGGAGTTACCAGAATTGGGTGGGGGAAAGAGACTTCATATTAGATCTTTCTATACTGTTTGAAAATTTTTAAACATATCCATACAACGCTTTAAAAATTAAAAACAGGATATTGGGGGCCTGGGTAGCTCAGTGGGTTGAGCTGCTGCTTTCAGCTCGGGTCATGATCTCAGAGTCCTGGGATCGAGCCCCACATCAAGCTCTCTAAACTGTAATGGCCTGTTGGGCTGCTAAGGTGCAGTTGTTATTCCTATAGTCCCCATTCGAATGCAGTACACTCCCTACTTTACTCCAATGAAATTATGTCCTTTGAATTAATACAGTTGAATTTGAAAATTACATTTTGTCACTGGAAACTTACTTTTGAATGTAGGCAGTCCTCTGCAATTTTTTAATCAGCTTTTGGACAGCTGCCGCTCTTGGCATTTGTCCCGTGTCCCCAGATTGCTTCATTCATGGCGAATCCAGACCCATGCATCTGCCTGTGAGCCAGCTATGGGGCTGCATGGGAATGGTGCCCATCAGCCAGTGATTCTGGGCTGGAGGGACTCCTACCCCTGCAGGGCCTAGGAGTGTGAGGTGGTCATTCAAATATGGGATCACATTTTTTTGGTTTTTACACACATGAGAAACAGGGAAACGAAAGTGCTGGTACTGGTAATAGGTGTGGGTTTTTATATCTCAGTATCATGGAGACAAAGATGGGAATGATTTAGTGTATCAGAAATGGCAGCCCCATTGGATGCCGGACTTTACTGGACTTCCATCAGTTCTCTATGTGTTGAGCCATAAAGAAAAAAAAAAACTAAAGAAAGGCCAGACAAGTTTGACTTTGTAACTCCCATGCCCACCCAACGCTTCCACGTCCAGCATCCTCTCCTGCTTGTTTTCTAGATCAATATTGTCAACCTGTCTGCGTTATAGCCCAGAGACACTCTTCCTTTTCTCCCTCTGGTGCTCTTTGTGTATATCTCATCTTACCCTATAGGAGTAGATTTAGAGAAGGGAGTGGTTCCTTGTCTGTGGGTGGCTGCCCTCCCTGCTTACCCAGTGGACCCGTCATCCCA